ATTTTATCGGTGTCACTGATGGAGTGAATTGCCTTTGCTTAAGGCTCCCCTGGTTTCTGAACTCCAAGTCATTATAATGCAAAATATACAAGCACTGCTCAGGATTTGGAGATTCTTGTATCAGAACATGCAAATTTTCATTTATTTTTATCCTCTGCAGTGAACCCTTTGTCTCCAGTGAGAGAAAGAGCAAAGGTGGTGGCTGAGTGCCACCTGAAAACAGCCACCAGCCTGTTAATGTCATTTGCTCATATCCATGCCCCAACTCTGCCTCAGTCCACAGAGGCCACCTCATCTAACCATATTTTAAATATTCATCTTCTCTAGCGTTCTGTGGGTTGTGGTTGCTCTGTGTTCCTTACTGGCAGGTACCTGTTTGCTGAATTAGATTTCAGAGAAAAACTGTAAGACCTGTAGCAAAAAATAGCCTAGTCATTTTTGCAATCAGTCTCCCCACCTCTTAACAGAAACAAATTTAGTGCTGCTTCAGTGTAGGGAGAATCTTTTTTAAGAAGAAGCCTGTTACCAAAATAAGATTAAAATTCACATTTTGACTGTAGGTCCTTCTGGTTGAGAAATAGATTATTAAAGTACTTTTAATTATAAAAATCACTTAGGTTTCTTGCACTACAAAAAAATAATATTTTAGAGGGTTGGGCAGTATACACTCAGCAGGAGAATTCACATGGATTAATCTGCCCACTGGAATGCCAGTCAGCCAATTTGATTCTTTCAGTGCCTTATCAAGTTCTGATGTGCTTAGTACTGAGTTTGACTTATCATCAAAGTTCTGTAAGTTAAGTGGGATTGATACTCTTCTAACAGCTCCACTTGTTTTTCTTTTTCCTTTCTTTAATTAAATAAGAGAGTTAGTGAAATTGCATTTTCTATCTTTGCTGTGCAGGCCCACAGAGTAGGTATAAAGCTGTCTTTGATGTGCTATGAGCTCATGATTTTAATCTAGCCAGATGAATTGCACACCTATATATTTTATGACAGTCACAGTAACCAGCCTACAGGAGCTGCTTGGGGAGCATAAATTAGCCATATGCCAGGGTGTTTCATTAACAAACATCTTAATATGAGCATTGATCTCGCTGAATGCGGCACCTCAGCTGTAATAACAATGTTCAAGTTGCTCTGTTATGCTTAGATGTGCATTTTCCTTTTCAGCAGATAGTAGAGTTATTGAGCCTTCAGCAAATAAACCATGTAAGAAGCAGCTGAGTATGTTAAGAGCCAGTTCCTGGTCTGCTGTAAATTAGTATGGATTTGCTGACTTCAGATGGGAGGTTCCTGCCATCCCCGTCCATATGAAAATCCAGGCGCAGTGGCAAGCAAAGAGCCCCATCAGCTCAGATCACACTGTGAGGCTCCATGCTCTGCTCAGCGTGGCAGCTGCAGTTGAAAAGAAAATATCTGTATGTAGGCAGGACTTGAAAGAGCTGCAGAGCAGTCTGATAGCGCTCAGGTAATGCTCTGTGAGTTGGGAGCACTATCAGAGGCCATTCAGAGCAGCAGCATATTTGTAATTTGTGTGCATCACGCTTGGCTACGGTGGGATCCGAGACAAAATGCCTCTGTTAGCTGAATGCTAACCTGCTCTGATCCTGTGCCATTGACACTGGTGTAGACATAGATACACACATCTTATCCTTAAATATAAGACTGATATTTTAATAATTAAAGCTATAACATTTAAAAATAAGCAGGATGCTCAATAGCTCAGAATCCATCTGTTAAAATCAAAGATGCAGTAGTTTATAGTATGAAATTCTTATGTGCAATTTTCAAAAGGGTGATTTCATGACTAATAATTAACACTTGAAGTTAGATAAACTGAAATAAGGAACATGCTCTAATTTTTAAAAGTAAGAGGTAATTGCCTATTAAGGGTCAGGGAGCAAGAAGAAATTCCTTCACTACTAACATTTCACAGGTTGCTTGGAGGTAGATGATGAGCTTCCATCAAGGAAATCATCATCCTTCTTTCTTTATGCCCTCTGTAGACCTTGATAGTGGATCACAGGACTTAGCAGGGACATTTATAGCTCTTCAAGACAGATGGAAGCAAAGCTGTGGATTTGGTAGCAAGTATTGTAGCCAACACAGGAGAATCCATCACTTGAATAAGTGAGCAGCCTATTCTTACTTCCCATTCTCCTCAATAAGGGCTTGACAGACAAGAATTCATGCTATGTGGTACCTAAACTATAAAAAGTTTACTGGAGCTATTGGTGAGTAATGGAGCTTTGGTTTGCACTATTTCCTGTGGTGTCCAATGCTCTGCACGTTACAGTTCTGTTCCCCTGAGAGCAGACTTTGCCAAGATGGACCAGTTGGCTGACATATATTAGCAAATCCACCCTTTCCTCTATAACTAAGAAGACAATCAGGCATAGATTTTATGTCTTAAAAATAATACAGTGTGTTAAATGCTGAAATATTACAGCTTGGCTTTAAGAAAAGAACATTAAAATATTTCCTTATGTGAGCATGCACACGCTCACCTGAATTTATTTTCAATGTTCCTCACGAAGATAAATCTCTTGCCACATTCAGAGCTCTTCAACAGTTACAGTTTTCTAAAAAATCGATACTTATTCCAGAGAAAGCAGCTGGATTGGGAATGGGATCATTTCATTTCTTGAAATCAGAATATGAAATCAGTTAGTTGCAAAATAATATTTACCACTTAATGTAACCTCTATTTCTTCTTTCTGCTGGGCTAACTTTTTAGCTCTGAATTTTCATGCAGATAACTTTTGTTTGATTCCTTACTGGAGTCTATTCTCCAGTTAATGTGCTGTGTCATGAACTTAAGGACATACACAATCAATTGATTTTCATTATTTTTCAAATAGTGGGAAAAAAGCCTAAGTAATATTCAGCCTGAAAATTTCTTTTTAATTTTACCTTGCTTATTCTGATATGCTTCCAAACATCACAACTCAGTTGCATATCAAGGTATTCTCAACATTACATAAGAGGCTACTAACAGTTTGGAGGCATTTTTAAATTATCATTCAATAACTTAGAATAATTTTACAGGGATATCAGTGTTTCCATGATTTCTGAACCTGATACAATGGAATACATTCTAGAGTTGTTAATCCAGTTTTGCAGATGAATAGAAATTAAAAATAATATTTTTAACTGTCTTTTACACCCCATAATAATTCATGTTCATCATATTATCTGGGAAGTTGGCTGGAAGCAAATAGTCAATTTTGTATTAATTTGTGAACAGGCAGCGTTAGCAATTGCAAATGATGCTAATGATGCAAATGTAAAAAATGCTTGTTATAAAATTAAAATCTCTGACAGTGTACCAATATTGGATTTTGAAATATTCCCAATGCAGCTTCACTGGTGTCTTAAAAATGATCTAGCACAGATTATTGCCCTTTCAACTGTAATAACAGACTAATCATTTGAAATATTTGCTGTTCCCCTCTATAATTTCTTCTATGCTACAGGAGACCTGTTGGTGAATTTAGAAGGGAAAAAACCAATCTTGTTGGGTTTTCTGTCACTCCAATCTGATTAACATGAGCAACTGGTTTTATTTTTCTCTAGATGTTATTATGCCACTTTACACAAAAACATTTTATAGATACAAAAATGTTTGAAGAATTCTGTTCTTTAATGTTATGCTGGAATTGGTTTTATGTTCTTTCATGTTTTATATCTGAAAGGCAGGATGAGCAGTTGAGAAGATTCAAATAATGGATTTGTGTTTCATTAGTAGTTTATCCTTATAGACTAAGTTTCTTCAGACTGAATTTTATACTGAAAACAAGGTGCAAGTCAACAAAACATTGGTTAACATTGCTTTGAAAAAAGTTTAGTTGATTCATTCATCCCTTTACTCATTCAATGACTGAAAAAACTATTTCCCTTAAAATGATGGGTATGTGATAATCTAATGAGGAGAGTAATGTACTTCCATTTTAGTTTCTCATTGCAAAAGTAGAAATAGAAGGAATGGAGGAAAAAAATAAATTTAAGTTTATGCTTCATTTTGGTTTCTGAGCACTGGGGGAAAATCCATTTAAAATTTTAATTTTGCCTTTTTTCCCCCTTCCTTTCAGCCCTTGAAGGAAATACTTACTTCTCCAGCCAGCAGGTAAGCAATAAATATTCTTTTAGAATTGAGGAGGCAATATAATGGGTCTGTAACTGCAGCTGTCTCCATCTGTTGTATTTTCCTCATTTTACATTATAATTTTCCTTTAGTATGGAGTTGCTGTACTTTTGCTTTCTGATCACACCCCTTCATTCTGGATAGCATCTTGGATAGGAAGACAGATACAGCTTGTGCTGGAGATAAAAATCCTGTCTATGCTTCCTTTTTGAACCCTGAGAGCAATTTCTGGAAATTTATTAGTTTCTTTAATACCAGTTTTTAGTCAGTCAAACTTGCAAACAGACTAAGGAGGCAAAAAAAAAAAAAAAGGATACAGTGTAGTAATATTAAATAAAATCAAGAGAATATTGAGACTTACCAAACTAATAAAGTGATTTTAACTGAACTTTGTAGTTCATTTTCTATAGAAGTTCCTATGGCCTATCAGCAATACCCTGTGTTGTTTTGAGAGTTCTCTAAGGTTCAAGAAAAACAGCAAAGCCAGAAAAGATCAGGGGGGGTTAAACTGCAGGTTTTCCTTTTATTCTAAAAGTTAACAAGTGAATGCTTCTCATAAATTTCTGTGTTACTTTGTTAAGCAATATCAAATGAATAACCATTTTTTCCTGCAAATCTTTAAAGAGAAATATAGAGAATTTTAAAACTATTTTCTTATACCATTGAATGGTATGAGGTCTGTCATGTGAGGAGTGCTGGCAGACTCGGTGTATCAAATCTGACCTATCAGTGAGTGGTTTGCTGGGAATTTGTTGTAAGGAAAAGTGAATACAAGGGAAACCAACCAGTAGTATTTTCTAGGAGAATAATGAGTTCTAGGATTCACAGGAGAATTGTGATCTTAAATTCTTACCTGTGGGAAGTTGCCACTTCTTTGTGTGTTGTGATTTACCTTGACATTTTCTCAGATCTGTACTTGTTACCGGTCCTAAAATCCCCAAATGGCAAATAATATTTTTAAGCCATTTTTCTGTTAGAAAGATGAAAGAGGAAACCTTTCTGCATCACACAGATTAGGGATAGGAGTGCTAAATAACTCTACAGCCCTTCAAAGTTCACTCTTTGAGCTTTCCTTACCAATAAAAGGAACTTTGCTGGTATTCTCAGTAAAGCTGCCCAAAAATTATATCGATGCAGATATAAGTAAGTACTATTAATGCTTTAATCCTCTCTCAGAACTCAACTTTCATAATCTGCAGGTGAAGTAGCACCATAGGAAAAAAAAATGCAGATTAGAGTTATGGCTGGAAATTTAAGCTTTGAAATAAGGAGGTTGTTGGCAGATACACTGAGCTTCAAAGGTAATGTACTCAGTGCTGGGAAGCTGGCAGCTGAGATTTCAATGAAAGATGAGGAGAAAATGATATCAAATAATATGATCTCTATATACTTTTACAACACAAGCACAAATAAAAGATTATTCTCTGATATTACAGTGTGAAGTATAAAAGGTAAAGCTGAATACAATATTCTGTCAAGTAAACAGGCAGAGGAGACAATCTTACCTGAAACCAATGTATCAGAAGGCTCAGGTGGTGTTTCAACTCTGTAGTGTTTGGAGAGATCAAGGTTCTCCAGCCACATTCCTGTCCTTTCCAACATTACCAGAACCAAACAGAAAAAGAACTACAGCACGTAACATCTAAAAGTATTTAAATATATTATTGCCTTAGAGGTACTTCTGTGTTAATAATTGAGAATGACAAAAACACTTGAAGGAGAAATATTCAGAAAGATACCCTCTGTTCAACTCTTAAAATTAGTAATATTGCTTCACACCAGGGTTTGGGAACTACAGGTTTCACTCTAAATGATGCTGTGAGTGTGCTCTGTAGTTCTCTGGGAACTCAAGGAGTAGTAAACAAAACTCTTCTTCACCAATCTGCAGATAGGGTTGGCAAGTGACTGGTGAGGTCTGCTTGCTGACGCCTCATCAGCCTGATTACAAGAGGTCAGAGGAGGGACAGCATAAACTGATAATTATTTACATACAATGTGGCAGGATAATTGCTTGGGTTACACTGTCTGTCAAGGGAAGTGTTGAAAGGGCTTGAATGGCAGTGAATATTCTCATGGATACGTTTTTTCCCTTAAGGATCTGAATCAAAGCACATTAAAGTCAGGGACTGATGCATTTCGGTAGGTTTGGTATCAAGATCTGAAAAGTGCAGGGTGCCTGAATTTATCTTTCTTTTTTTGGAGGGAGTGCAGAGCACACTCTAAACAGTTTATCTCTGATATGGTCCTCATGAAAGGGGTCGTGTGTTTGCTCTGCAATTCCCTTGTTCCTTCAAACTGCTCTGCACATTTCCCCATGCATTATATCCATTGATTTGTTTATTACTTCACAAATGGAGCGTTGTCTTCTCTACAAGGGTTGCCATTTGCAGAGAATCTTTCTTCTCACTGTATTTCTCTCCTATTTCCTTAAGCACCACACCTACCTGCTGTGTTGGAGCCAGACCACTGCCTCCCATCACAAAGGTAAATTAATGCCTTGAAAGTGCGTTATGTCTCTTCCTTACAGTCTTAAAAGAATGTGCATTGATCTGTGTTTTTTTTTTTTTTCTCACTAAACCACTTATAAAGATGGAGTTTAATGTTTGCTTGGCAGTGCTTCTGGAGACAGATAGGATGTGGGCTTGTACAGATTCAGAATATTTTGAGCAATTGAATCCACTTTGGCTTTAGATAAAGGCACATAATGTGATGAATTTGGAAATGTTCATTCCTATTTTTAATTTAAATTAATATTTCTAAGTTAAATATAAGGTAATGTAAAAAGCTGTAACATCTATCATTTAGAAGACAGGAATGAAAAACATGACCTATAACAGAGGTTCCTTCTGCAAGCAAACTGCAAGGAAAAATCATGTCAGTTTGATGTAGCCTTCACAATTGACATGTGAGCATTCCTAAGTAATCACGCTTTTAACTGTTCCTGAGTTGTAGCACTGAGATCCAAAAGACTGGGATGCAAGTAGGTGTAGCTATTTTGCAGGATATTTGAAAATACCTTATTCTCATGCTCTTAAATGAATAAAGTATTTAATGAAAGAATGAGTTTTACTCGGGAAAAAAAAATTAAAGTATTTACTGAAATAGAGTTTATTACTGAAAAAGCATTCTCCTCTTGATAAATGCACAGTTGTCTTCTTACCAGCATACAAGAAAGCACTCAGAGCATTCCTATAAGCTATCAGTGACTTCATTGAAATGGACAATGAAAACACTCCTGGTTCAACTCCTGTAAATAATGTTTTTAGTAAGAGTAGGGAGACAGGTGAAACTGGAAGAGTTACAAGAAAAGCTATTTATTAGCATTCATGTCACAGATGGTTGTCTGTGTGGATGACATATTAGAGAACAATGTTTTCTTTCCTTGGAACATCAAAATCCACATGCAAGTGTAAAAGAGGAAAGCATTCTAATTCTCTTTATTTACCTCTACTGACAAAACTTAGCTTTTGATGATCTGAGCAGTTTTAGAGTTAAGGATTGATCTCCGAAATTAGTAAATTCAAGGAGATTCAGATTTTTCAGCTGGCACATTCTGAAAGATCGGGTCATACAATAGCATGGTGCAAATCCTCAAACCATCTCAGTAGAAAGTTGTGACAGATACTACCTCTTCCCTCCCTCTAACACCAAACATCTCATGGCAAGCACTGTGTGAAACAGAGAACTTTCCTGGGTTAGTCTGATTTGTGTTTATCCCTAATGGCAGCTGCTAAAGTGCCTTGGCTAAATAAACCATCAGTGTTTATTTAGGTAAGAATGGATCCAGATCTGATCTTCTGTTCTTTTGGATGTACTTGTCATGTATTTGCTGTTTTAATTATTCAGTCCTTGCAGAGAATTTTTAATGAACAGAATTTTTACAGATTAGTTCTTTTTTTTTTCTTTCTTCTTCTTCCTGGTGTGAAATATTCTTAAATTAGACCCATTAAAAATCTAATGTATTGCTGAGAGTGCACATGCTAGAATTCTTTTTCCCCACTAATGTGAAGTGGGAAATATCCTCAACTACTCCCCAGCTTACAAAGCAAAATATAAGTGTACAAAACTATAATAAAAGGAATCTGGCTGCAGAAGGCTGTAATAAAAGGATGATAATTGAAATCAAGCTGCATATCACCATGACAAGTAATTCCTAACTGAATTCCCTGATTCAAACTCTGCTGTCCTTTGGAAGACAAACAAGGCATTGAAGCTGCCCTGAAGGCTCTGTGTTGACAATGCACTGGTGGTAGAATTTCACTCAGGAGTAGGGACCTTCTGAAGTGTGAGACTTACATGAATCAAAGCCATGCTTGTGGTGCAAATTCTGACATCTGTTTCCCTCCTAACTCCACATATTAAATCCTGCTGTTAAAAAGAAAAACTGTTTATTGGCAACCAGTACTGTCTTCCCTTCAATTGTTCTTTAAAACACTTTTATTATATCTCAAAGGTAAGAGAACTTTGACATACTTGCCAGTTCCACAGTGTACAGTGAGTTGTGTGCATTGAAAGATGCAAGATTATCATCAGTGCTATGACTCACGGAGTGAAAATACATTCTAAGTGAAAAACATCGGTAAAACCATGCTGGATCGGGGTCCTGATAGTTTTATCTTTTTACTTTTTTTCTATGAGGCAGCAGGTAAGAGGAAGTTTTGTGAAATGTATGTGAATCATCAACCAGCACAGGAACAATTGGGTCTTAGAGGATTAATTCTGTCCTAATGTCCGTTTTCTCTCTGTTGTTTATCTGTCTGCATGTCTGAATGGAAGTAAGAGTAAGAAGGGTTACAGAAACCAATTAACTAGAAATATTTAAAATGTTAACTTAAACCAAGGGAGATCATTAGCTGGATGGAGGGAATAAGTTCCAGGATGACTCTCCCTGTGCAAGACATCTTAATGAAATATTGTTTCATTTTGGAATGATGAGAGAAAGGATTGCTTTCACCAAATGTATTTTAAAGCATACAGTTATTTTACAAAAATTTTGGTATTACCTGCTTCGTTTTCTCTTTGCAAAGACAAAGGGAAAATTGTCCTGTTGCATCACAGTAATTCTTGTCACTGAACTAATTATTACAGTGGTAGTGTAGCAGTACTCACTGTTTGAGCAATTTCTGACTGATTTATCAATATCAGAGTCTTAATAGTTTGATTAAAACTAGAGGCATATGTCAAGTGGGACCCTAATTTTCTTCCTTGATGATAATAGACATTTGCCAAAATGGCTCAATATCAGATTTTTTTTTATTAGCAAGTTGAAAACTTGTCACAACGAGGCACGAAGCCAGAGACTCTGAGTCAGCTGGCACAGTGACAAAACCCAGAATTATATTTAAAGCAAAGAAGTAAAGCTTCTTTTGGCTGAAAGATCAAAATTGTTTCTGCCATAAAAACACCTATTGCCAAGGAGATATAAATCCTGATCTCTGCTCTTACTGCCTCCAAGGGCAGTCATATCTAAAACTGAAGAAAATTGGTTTATGGATGTAGATGATACAATAATGCAGATACACAACAGGCCCCACCAAAGCATCTTTGGGCTCTCCATTCTCATATTCCTGACTTCCAAGGCGTAATGGTTTTATCTGGCACTTGACTTTACATTTTGGAGGCTAATGAAGATGCAATGTTCTGGCTTGCCAGTCATTCCTTGGTCTTGGTTCAAACCTGAGAGGACAGGGAGGGTGGCAGGAAGGCAGTGATCATCCACTTTCTTGTAACTGCTGCCTTGTAACAGGAAAGCAGACACGACCTTTGCCTCTCAAAGGCACAGCACAGACAGGCTGAGCACATATATCCCTCTAAAAACAGGTATGTGCCTTTATATTATTTTATGCAGGCAACAATAATGTCAACATAACATAAAGCAAAACAATATTGCTGAAAACAACACACTCTTTTCTAAAGACAAGACATCTTCAGGGTCCAAATATCGAAATTCAAGGAGGAAAAGGTGAGAGTTTGAATACTGGAGAAGATTTTGATTTTGGTTTCAACAGCAAGTGCAATAAACACGTCCGAGAAAAAAATTTTGTCTTGAAATATGCAGTTAATCCAGTTCCTCACCTCTGTTTCCCAGTCCCAGCATTTCCCAATTAGATTTCTATTTCAGTACTGTTTCTATAGCAAGGAACTTGCATAAAAGAGAAGGAGTGGGAGATTTTCAAAGTAGCCATGCTAATTAGGTGTCCAGCTCTCATTGATTTTGAATAGGAGCTGGGTCCTTCAGAACTCTTTCTGCCTTTGAAAATCTCTCCTGTAATCTCTCCCCGCTCTCTTTGTGCAGCCTCTGGCGTTCAAAGGCTTCCAGCCCAAAGAAGAGACAGCACATGATGCCCGGTCTCCATTACCCTTCCTGTCAGAACTAATATTTGCAACTGGAAGCTTTCAAAGGGATAGCCTATATGTTGTTGACAGAAAGGAACTTTAGGGCTATTAATATTTTACTCATTAACTCATTACCTGCTACAATGCCTGCTTTTGTGTGACTTTAAAGGTTTCAACAGGTCTGCGT